GGGATAATTCCAATTTTTTTGAATTTGTTGAGACTTGATTTGTGACCTAACATGTGATCTACCCTGGATAATGATCCATGTGCTGATGAGAAGAATGAATATTCTGAGGTTGTTGGATGGAATGTTCTGTAGATATCCGCCAAGTCAAATTGGTCTAGAGTATTGTTTAGACCTTGTGTTTCTCTGCTGATTCTTTGCCTAGATGGTCTGTCCAGTATTGACAGTGGGGTGTTCAGGTCCCCTGCTAATATGGTATTAGTGTCTATCTCATTCTTTAGGTCTAATAGAGTTTGCTTTATAAATCTGGTTGCTCCAACATTGGGTACATATATATTTATGATTGTTATGTCTTCTTGATGGGTCAATCCTTTTATCATTCTGTAGTGGCCCTCATTATCTCTTTTTATGGTTTTTAGTTTAAAGTCTATTTTATCAGATATAAGAATAGCTACTCCAGCTCGTTTTTCATTTCTGTTTGCATGGTAAATCTTTTTCCATCCTTTCACTCTTAGTCTATGTGAGTCTTTATAGATGAGGTGGGTCTCTTGAAGGCAGCATATAGTTGGGTCCTCGTTTTTAATCTAGTCAGCCAGTCTTTGTCTTTTGATTGGGGAACTTAATCCTTTTACATTAAGAGTTGTTATTGAAAAGTGTTGATTTACTCCTAGCATTTTATTGATTTTTGTTCAGATGTCTTAAGTGTCTTTTGTTGCTTTCTTTCTGACTTACTGTTTGTTTTCTGTATTTGTTGGTTCCTTGGGTTGTAGATAGCCTTTTGTTTGTTTGTTTGTCTTCTCTTCATAGATGCCAATTTTATTATACTAGTGGGTTTTGATTTTTCTTGGGTTTTTATGGCACTGGTAGTTGTTTTTCAGGTACCAAACCCAGTACTCCCTTGACAATTTCTTGTAAGGCTGGTCATGTGGTAGTGAACTCCTGCAGTTTTTGTTTGTCTGAGAAATATACTATTTGCCCTTCATTTTGGAAGGATAGTCTTGCAGGGTAGAGTATTCTTGGCTGGCACTCTCTGTCTTTTACTATTTTTAATATATCATCCCATTCCTTTCTGGCTTTTAGGGCTTATGATGAAAAGTCTGATGTGAGTCTGATTGCTGCTCCCTTATAGGTGGCTTGGCGCTTCTCTCTTGCAGCTTTTAAGATTCTCTCTTTGTCTTTGAGTTTTGCCAATTTGACTATAACATGTCTTGGAGAAGACCTTTTTGGGTTGAATATATTTGGGGATCTTTGAGCGGTTGTCTGATATCTCTCTTAGATTTTCTTCAATGTTTTTAATTCTTTTTTCTTCTTTTTTTGTCTGCCTGTGTTATTTCAAACAGCCCAGCTTGGAGGTCAGTAGTTCTCTCTTCTGCTTCTGCAAGCCTGCTGGTTAAACTCTCTGTTGTGTTTTTTATTTGGTTGAATGAATTCTTCACCTCAGCAAGCTCTGCTACATTCTTTTTCAGGGCATTGATTTCCTTGTATATTTCTTCTTTCAGGTCCTTTATACTTTTCCTAGTTTCATTGTGTTGTCTAGCTGAGTTTTCTTGTATCTCATTTAGTTTCCTTACAATTATCACTCGAAATTCCTTGTCAGACATTTCAAGGGCTTCTTGTTCTACAGTATCTAGACCTTGAGAGTTATAACCCTTTACTGGTGTACTTTCTTGATTTTTCATATTTCTGGTATCTTTCCTTTGATAATTAGTCATTGTGACAAGGGATTTCACAGTCCACTGGTTCAACACTATTGTCTGGCTAGGATCCTGCCAGGGCTGCCAATTTGGCATGGCTGCCTCAGTATCTTTGGTTGCCCACTGGCTCCTCTGGTGCGTGGTTGCCTCAGATCTTGTGTCTCTCCGGGGAGGCACCTCTCTGGTCGGCGTGCACTCGGCTGGGCTGGGAATGGGGTCTGGCAGCAGCACGGCCTACCTGCTCAGTCATGTGCTGGCAGCATAGGGCATGTGCTCTCCACGGATCCCAGGCCTTTCCAGCAGGGCACCTCTCTGGTCAGCGCACTCTCTGCTGCGCTGGGGATGGGGTCTAGTGGTGGTGAGGCCTACCTGCTCAGTTGCATGCTGGCACTGCTGGGCGCGTGGTCTCTGTGGATCTTGGGCCTCTCCGGTGGGGCACCTCTCTGGTTGGCATGCACTTGGCTGGGCTGGGGATCGGGTCCTGCAGCGGCGAGGCCTACCTGCTTGGTTGCACCCTAAAGAGATATTTGTACACCCTTTATATTAGTCAGGGTTCTCCAAAGAAACAGAACCAATAGGAGACATAACCTGTATATATGTATAGGTTATGTGTGTGTGTACAAGGGTACTTCGATAAGTTTGTGGAAAAGTAGAATTCAAAGATAATATGAATGAATCCATGAACTTTTTGAAGTATCCTCATATATGGGGAGGGGGTCATGGTCTAGATCCTAGTCAGAAGGCCTGAGAACCAGGAATGCTGATGTCCAAGGGCAAGTAGATGGTTATACATTTTTAGTTTTGTAAGATTAAAGGAGTTCTGGGATGGATGTGATGGTGGTGATGATAACACATTATGAACGTGATATCATGAATTTAATACCACTAAACTGTACAGTCAAAAAATGATTAAGGTGATAAATTTTATGTTTATGTATTTTACCAAAATAAAAAACATAGAAAAAAATCTCTGTAGGTCTTTCTCACAGGGAATGAATGAATTCTCCGGTATGGCTGCTCCTGAAAGGAACAATGAGACTTTTGTTATTTCACCATAGGATTGAGAAAGAAAGAAATAGGTGATAAATGCCCAGACCCCTTTTAATTCATTTCACATCCTGGTAATTCCAGGCATGGTGTGGCTTTTCACTCCAAACATATGAAAACGCACAACCAGAAGCAGCATCTCCTTTCCCCCACTTTATCCTTATTGTTGTCATTGACAAGGGGGGTTCTCACTGGCTGATATTTGGGGTTCCTTCCTCAGCGGTCCCCCATACTGAACATATCCACTATTTATTTGTGCTGTCCTGTGTCTCTCACATCTCCCACTTTTGAAAAGCCCCCTAAGAGTCAACAAGCCATAAGACTCAAACAATACCCGTGCCACAGCTAATCATATGCCTTTAAAAACTTCTCCTTTACCATATTTTCTGAAATGGGAGGTGAGTGCTCAATTGTTTTTAACTGATAGAGGTTTGGAGAACAGGATCTATACATGTAAGTTTTCTTCCAGGGCAGCAGCCTTGCTTTCTCCACATCAGCCTTAATTCTCCAAATGTCCATTCCTGTGCTTGTTGAAACAACACCCTTGGCTTGTCCAAATAGTATCAATTGGTAAAATCTGACAGGAGATAAAAGTTAGATATCCAGAAGCATAATTCAGGAAGAAAGACTCTTTATGGCTTACAGAAAGCTGAAGAACTGCTCCATGATGTGCAAAAATGATTAGCACACGCAAACCAGTAAGAAGAAATAGTCACCTTCAACCACTTCGTAATTTCTACCAATTTGCCCTTGTCTCTTCTTCACTGGGACTCACATTGCTCCTTTTGATTACTCAACCTAGATGGGGCCCCAGGATGTGATAGTTTAACTTTGTCAGGTAGGGAGAGAGAAAAAGTTGGGAACCAGCCATCACCTAAAAGGGCTTTGATAACAGAGGCAAAGAATAACAGTTTGGAACATTAATATAATTAATTATCTAACTTCTCATTCAGTAGCTGATCCACGAGTAAATGGGTTATTGTGAGTATCTGACTGGAGACAAGAATGATCGCTAATGTAGGATTGACTCTGAATTACAGCTCCTGGCACCAGTAGGTCTCTGTATACATAGTCCTCGTTGAAAGGCAATTTTCTCGGTGGTATTCCTGGTATCCCTAGAAGGGAAGTATGATTTTAGGTACCTAGTGACAAAATTTGAATACAATGTACTTAGATGAAAGTTACAGTCTGTTTTAGAGATAAAAGTGAAGGCTGCAGTAGTTATTGCTTTGGCAAAAGATTGTTTGGCTGATGCAGTGTATGGGCATTGCTTTTATGATTTACCTTATCATATAGCACCTGATGTATCAGTTGACTTGTGAAAGCAGTGTTTTGGTTTGATGGATGTTAGGGATTTATATACAACTTCCAATCTGCCTTGTTAACAGTAGAGGAGAACCGGATGGAAGCATTACTTCCAGTTGCTTTTTGAAGAGAGTTCAGAAAAGGGTCCACCAAAATTAATGACTTTTTCCTTTCTTCACACAGATTTCCTCCTAGAATGACAACACCTTTTGCATTCAACACCTCAGTCATGTACAAAAAGACTGTGTTTGTAGAGTTCATGGATCACCTTTTCGACATTGCCAAGCCCAGGCCACCCTGGATGGGTAATGAAAACAATATGGAATGCTGATTATGAAACTGGGGATCTTATTTCCTAACAGGAATTCTCAATCTTGGGGCTGCAGTTAAAGAGAGCAGCTGCCCAGGTTTCCATTACTGTCACCTTTGGGGAAATACACTGGCTAAATTTTCTGTGTTTTTGCTGAGCCCTCCTCTTCTGCATTGCCTCTAGTGCCCTAGGGCTTGGTGCTGGGTTCATTTTCTTTTCTCTCTGTCTTCAACCCGTAGGCGATCTTATCCAATCTCATTCTTTAAAATCACATGTATATGCTAATAAATCCCAAATCTATATCTTGAAGTCAGACTTCTCCCCTGAATGCCAACTGTTTACTTCCACTTAGATGTTAAGTAAGCATATAACAAGATGTTATGATGGGAATTGTAGGTCTGCGAAGTATAGGTGACAAGTATCCCCTTATTTGTAAGTAGAGGTATCAGCCCGCCTATTCAGGACTTGTTCAGGTAGTGGTCCAAGATTGGTTCTGCAACCTTTAGCCCATGACTTGCCTCCAGTCTACATAAAAGAAGGCAAAGAACTTATGAAATTGTTCAGATTTGAAGATTTCTTTGGAGAGCATTTTTGGTGTTTTATATGTCCTCTACCCCATGGGGACTGGGAGACCTCTCCCTCATGTCAAGCTATAATGAGGGAGGCTTCAGGATACCACTTAGAACACTTGACCTAGAACCTCTGGAACTTGGGAAACACTGAGTAGTACCCGGTTTTTTTCTGGAAATATATTCAAGGCCAGAGGCGAGTGGTAACTTCCCCTGAAGGCTATAGAGGAAGCTGACTGTACTGCCACTGTTTTAGGTGTGAGGCCAGGAAGGTCACAGGATGACACTTGTCTTAAGACCCTGCTTGAGAGCTCTTCCTGCCAGGGCTAGGTGACCCCAATAGAAAAGGTATGTGGGTTGTACTGTCATTAGCAGAAACTGAGAGGAGAGGTACAAGTGACCAGCTGGAGAGGGCATACGCCATGACAGAAAGGGGAAAGGTCTCCAAAGAAATCGTATAAGTTCCTTAAGAAAAAAAGAGCCAGAATTTTGGCATGTGCCATAACCAGGGGGTACTAATGCCACATTACTACTGTTCCTTCCAAGAAAGACCTTGTCATCGTGCCTCTTTCCACTTCCTCCTTACCTTACAGGGTCTGGAGGCAGTAAGGTGAGTCACGTAGGAAGATTAGGAGTGGAAGGTGGGAAAGCAGTGAACTTAGCTGGAGGAGGGAAGAAACTTTAAACTGCAGAGGACATCAAAAGTTTGATATTAGACTGGACTTGTTAGTACCTAAAAATGATGCTGTTTGTTAATACCTAAAAGTTACTGGAAAAGATTTGGAATTGATTAAAGTGCAAGAAAGGGAGATTCCACACAATGTAATTAAAAACAGCGGTCTAAGAAAAATAAAGTTATTTCATATTTTCATCCTACTGAATTCAGTTTATTCAATAAACCACTTGTAGGCATCTTATAAGTAACAGATTCATAAACAGAACTCTTAGTTTTCCTCTTGGTTTTCTGTGTCATGGCTTGACTAACCATCCAGCTTCACAAGCCAGAGTCACTGGAGTCGTCTTTGACTTCTCTCTTGTTCAACATCTAATCCATCGGCATGTCCTATTGACTGTTCCTCCAAAACAAGTTCCAAGTCATCTTTTATTTACTTCTTGTAAAATCCAAATTCGTTCAAACTCCTGTAGCCTACAAGGTCCTACATGTTATGTTTCCTGCTTACCTTTATATCCTTATTTTCTATTACTCCCGTTTATTCACTTTGCTGCAGTCATGTGTTACTCAACTATGCCAAGCTTATTCCTGCCTCAGAACTTTTGCATTTGTTTTATCTGCTTTGAATGCTCTTCAACTAGACCTTTGCAAATCTTTCTTCTTTTTTATTAGTCATATCTTTGCTTAAATTTCATCTCCTCATCATTTTCTAGCACATCATCGTCTTTTATAGCATTATCATAACAACTCGAAACCTTCTTGTTTACTTTTTATGTGCTTTAATGTCTCTAGAACGTGATCTCCATGATATGCCTTGTTCACTACTGTGTCTCCAGTGCCTATGACATTTCCTAGAGTATAGTAGGAACTCAGATATTAGTTGAATGAATGCATAAATGCATTGAATGAATTTCCAGAAATCTGTCCTTAGAACCAACCATGAGGACAAGCTAGTGTTGGCAACAAGAATATACTTTTTATCAATAAACACAGAGGCATGCTTCTCCACTGACTTTCACCCTCGCTTTTGTAATAACAGGTTTTTTGGAGGGCCATCATCCAAGTGATCTCTGGGGGATATCTTATTCTTGCAGGTCTGCTGGGTCCTACCATCCGGGCTGAGGTTTATGATACGGTGGTCATTACACTTAAGAACATGGCTTCTCATCCTGTCAGTCTTCATGCTGTTGGCATATCCTACTGGAAAGCTTCTGAGGGTGAGTCAAATGTCCTATTGTCCTGTCATCCTAGGGATAAAAGAGTAAGATGTGTGTGCTTGATGATGGTGGCACACCTGGAATGAGATCCATTATCTTAAATAAAAACTTATTGAAAGATGATAATAATAATAATAATAATAATAATAATAATAATAATAATAACGATAATAATAATAAAATAGGCTTTAAAACAAAAACCATAAAAAAAGACAAAGAAGACCAGCCACTATATAATGATAAAGGGATCTATCCAGCAAGAAGATGTGTATGTCTTCTTTTGAAAAATGTCCATTCAGGCCTTTTTCCCATTTTTTAATTGGGTTATTTGTTCTTTTGCTGTTGAGTTGTTTGAGTTCTTTATATATTCTGGATGTTAGTCTCTTGTCTGATGTGTAGTTGGCAAACGCTTTCTCCCATTCTGTAGGTTGTCTCTTCACTTTGTTGATAGTGTCCCTTGCTGTGCAGAAGCTTTTTACTTTGATGTAGTCCCGTTTACTTATTTTTGCTTTAGTTGCCTGTGCCTTTGTGGTCTTGTTCAAAAATGTGCTGCACACTGCCATTTCATGTAGCATTTCCACTATGTTTTCTTCTAGTAGTTTCACAGTTTCAGGTCTTAAATTTAGGTCCTTTATCCATTTTAAGTTGATTTTTGTGTATGATGAAAGGTAGGTGTCTAGTCTCAGTCTTTTCCATGTGGATGTCCAGTTTTCCCAGCATCGTTTATTGAAGAGGCTGTCCTTTCCCTAGTATATATTTTTGGTACCTTTGTTGCAAATCTATGCTAAATCATATGTAAATCATATGCTGTAAGTATAACGCATATGTAAGTATAAAGCATATGTAGGTATATATATAATGTAAGCATATGTAAGCATACACATGTCAGCTCACATATATACATATACAAGCATATGTAAGTATAAAGCATATGTAAGTCATATGCTGTAAGTGCATGGGTTTATTTATGGGCTCTCTGTTCTGTTCCATTGGTCTATGTGTCGGTTTTTATGCTAGTACCATGCTAGTTTGGTTACTATAGCTTTTTAGTATGTTTTGAAGTCAGTGATGCCTCCAACTTTGTTCTTTTTGTTTAAGATTGCTTTGGCTATAAAGGATCTTTTGTGGTTCCATACAAATTTTAAGATCTTTTTTCTATTTCTGTGAAGAATGTCATTGGTATTTTAGTAGGGATTGTGAAGAATGCATAGATTGCTTTGGGAAATGTGGACATTTTGATGATGTCAATTCTTCCAACCCAAGAACATGGGATATTTTTCCATTTCTTTGTGTCTTCTTCAATTTTTTCCACCAATGTTTTATAGTTTTTATTGAAGAGGTTTCTCACCTCCTTGGTTAAATTTGCTCCTAGATATTTCATTGTTTTGGTAGCTATTGTGAAAGGATTACTTTCTTGACTTCTTCTTCAGTTATTTTGTTATTGGTGTATAGGAACACCGTTGACTTTTGTGTGTTGAATTTGTATCCTGCCACTACACTGAATTCATTTATTAGTTCTAGTAATTTTTTGGTGGAGTCTTTAGGGTTTTCTATGTATATGATCATGTCATCTGCAAATAAGGATAGTTTGGCTTCCTCCTTTCCAGTTTGGAAGCCCTGTATTGCTTTCTCTTGCCTTATCACACTGGCTAGAACTTTTAGGACTATGTTGAATTAACCGTGGGGAAAGTGGGTAGCCTTGTCTTGTTCCGGGTCTTAGAGGGAAAGTCTCAGGCAGGCTTTTCTAACATAATGGCAAAGACAACTGGCAGCTCAAGGCTTACCTCGTTCTTACAGATAGTGGCCCAGAGGTGGGAAGCAAGCCTCTTTCCTAGTACTTCTTGATGTTGCATGGTATGGAAGAATTAGAAAGGAGGAGGCAGCATCAGTTTCACCCAATTCACCTGGAAAAGGGTCCCATTCCACAAGAAGGAAGAGGGAAGGAAAAGCATGTTAGGAATCCACAGTCCTCTATGACCAGGTCCTGGAAAGGGCAAGAACTTGGGTAGCTTCAGGATCCCAGTAGCAGAGGAATGTGTATGGATATTCACTTGAAGCCTCCAGCATTTATTCTCTCTCCATGTTAGTTCCATTAAGTAAAGAGGTAATATGATCACCTCTATTGACAATGACAATGGCCAGGGGGAGTGAGTTACTGAGCACTCTCTTGAGAAAAGGTTCTGAGAAGGATCAACCCCGTGGCTCACTCGGGAGAGTATGGTGCTAGGAGCGCCGCGGCCGCGGGTTCGGATCCTATATAGGGATGGCCGGTGCACTCACTGGCTGAGTGTGGTACGGGCAACACCAAGCCAAGGGTTACGATCCCCTTACCAGTCACACACACACACACACAAAAAGGTTCTGGGCAGATGAGGCAAACCAAGAAACCTGGTCACTACAGTAGAATACTGAGAATGTATTGTTTTATGAACCCCAAAGAGTTACAGTGCTCTACGGTTGGTTATTTGAAACTTAGTGAAAGTTAATTTGCTTGTAGGGCATCTTTATTTGAGACATACATACAACTATATTTCCCCCAGTTCTATAAAAAGATATCGCTAGATTTCTAAATCTCCAAAATCTCTGCTTTTCCTGGGCCACACAGAACTCTTTGATACAAATGAACACGGTCTGGAGACTGATGCAGGCAGGGAGAGGGGCAAGGAGTAAGGGAGAAAAAAACACCATGTCCATGCCTTCCTAATTTATTGATCCCATTTCCAGAGATTCCATAAACCAGAAAAGTCAATAAATAAAATGAATACATCCATGTTCTGCCTAAGTCTCTGCCTGGCATACCAATCAGAGAAAAGCAAAGCACCAAGATGAGCCTCTGAGCTTTAATACGTCAGACGATATCATGAACATATGGTGAAACCATTCTTAGGAAATAAAAATTCCTATAAATCTTTTGATGGCCTGACTGAACATTATGTTTGTCTCTCAAAATTACTAGAATATAAATATCTCAAGTTAGGAACAATATCTGTCCTGTTTACTGCTGTATCATTAGCAAATAATATGGTGCCTAGACTACAGTGGATGCTCAATACAAGAACCAGGGTACAGAAGATACCAGTCACTTTTTATTCTCGAAATTACACATGTTCTTTACCCCCTACCCCCAGGAATTGCTTATCTAAATGTACTTCAAACAGACCTGACATTATCTTAAAGCCTGTGCCTCACTGGCCACAGTGATTGGTCTAGTTGTGAGCAGTTGACTCAGGTATCCCACCTCCTTGGCCACAGGTGATTGGTTCAGAGATGGGTACCTTACCTAACTAGGCCAATGACAGAACTTTCCTCCTCTAGGATTTTAACATTTGTGAGAAAGGACCTACTACTACCAGGTAATCCTGTAATTTGCGGATGAAGGCCAGATATATGATAAAATCAAGACCCTACTGGTTCATGGATTCCTTGTGGGCCACAGACCCTATAGGAGTCTTACAGGGGTGTGTGTCCTTAGCAGGCATAGGGCAAAGGTGGGGCGTCACCTACCTTTCTGTGCTTCTACACCACCAATTTTACCCTGAACATTTAGGTATGTAATCGGAGACAGGAAGCCATGGCAAATTTGGAAGAACTATGTTTGACTATATTTTATAGAGACACATATAGAGTTCAGCATTGGGGAAAATTCCAAAGATTAATAGAGAAAAGGGTGGCCAACACACTTTTACCTTTTTCTTTTCCACTAACATTAGAGAGAGATAAAAGTTTTAACATCACGAATATGGAGAGATAAACATCCTAAAATCCAGCTCAGGTTAAACCCATCAGGATCCCTAAATGGCCACATTCCAGTAGAAGCATTGTCCCCTCCAATGAGGGGACACCAGCCACAGAGTCTATACTGCACAGTCCAGTATGGTAGCCACAAGCCACTTGTGACTATTGAGAACTTGAAATGTGGTGAGTCCTAATTAAGACATGCTATAAAATACACACCAGATTTCAAAGGCTTAGTACAAAAAAGACTGTAAAATATCTCATTGATTGCTTATGAGTACATGTTAAAATGATATTTTGGATCTACTAGGTTGAATAGAATACATTATTAAAAATAATTTTACCTGTTTCTTTTTACTTTTCTTAATATGACTACTAGAAAATTTAAAATTACTCGTCAGTATGCTTTCAGTGAAATATCATTTAGTATATATTGAAGCTGCTGGCCCTGATGCAGTGGTTCATCTCAGATCTGGCTGGCCAAGTTATTCTGTCCAAGGAAAACTAGGTCCAACCCATTTCTGGAAAGGAAGAGTCTCAGAGCTTTCTGGGCTGGGTCACTTACGCTGGTTAAATATGTTCTCCACCTATTCTACCAGCCATTTTTGCTTAATTTACTTAAGCATCCCAGAGATTTCTTTCTGATTACAAGTGGAAAATGCTAACATTGGGCTAATTCTGGGGTCAATTTTAGCATCACTAAGCATACTATCTGTCCCTGATATGGTGCAATGTGAGGTACTCGGCATCACCTTTGATATATTTTAGCCAAAAAAAACCATTGTTTAACTTGAATCTAATCAGGACTTAGGTCTAACTTCCAGTTTATAGGATATACAGGGGTTAGAGGAACAAGCTAAATGACCCCACAAAGATCACTGAAATCAATAATGTGGGATATTCTACAGGACTACAAGCCTAATTTTGTTCAGCAAATCAGTATCATAAAAAAGGGACTACTCCAGACTAAAAAAGACTTATGGGCCTAAACAACTAGATGCAACGTGAGGTCCTACATTGGGTTCTGGTTTGTACAAATGAGCTATAAAGGACACCTTTGAAGCAATTAAAAACATTTGAATATTGCATTGGTATTGGGTGATATTAAGGAATTATTGTTAATTTTTGTTAGGTGTTCTAATGTCATTTCATTTATGTAGGAAAATCTTTTTATTTTTTTAAGAGATGAATTTTAAAATATATACGAGTAAACTATCATGAAGTTTGTAATGTACATTAAAATACATCATCATAAAAAGTGTGTTGGAAGAGAAAAGTGAGAGTAGCAATGCAATCCCAGGAGTAATTTTCTAACATACACATTACAAAAATATTAAATTCTTTATAGTAAGCACACAAAAAAGAACACATAAATACGTCTATCTTTTAAGATTCATCTAAAATTCCAGTTTCTTCATCAAGCATTACTGAAGCGCAGAAAGCTTGTTTAATTTTTTTGACCACTGGACTGTTTGCTCCACGAGCACAGAGACTTCTGTCTTGTTGATCTTTATATTATCAGCTTGTAGCTGAACCTGGTAAAGAGAAATAACTCTGTAAATATTTATTGAATAAATGGGTGAATGATTCCACATTGTATTATAAGTGTACCTTTATATGTCCATGTCCCCCAACAAAGGTAGTGTTGGCCCTCCAGGCAAGAACCAAGTTAAAATTTTTTTTAAAGAAATCTCTGTATCTTACTCCTCCCTGACCCTCACCAGTGCCTATTAGATTCTGTGACAAAGTACACACCCCATGCATGTTTGTTGTTCAATTGACTTGAATTAGGCAAAAAGATGCAATAATGAAGGCAATGTTATTGGTTAAGAGAATCTGGAGATCTCAATGAGAACCTAGGTTTCACCACTCACACTAGGATTAATGGTCTTGAGCTTCTCTGGAATATATGAGGCTTCTCCCCATTTATAGCTGCTGCTTGTTAGCATTTCGAATAAAGTGGTGGAAAGTCTGTCTCTTATGTAGAATCTATTGGTGACAATAATCTTGATATATTTCTTTGAGTGGACAATGGACATACAAAGGACAATTTTATTCCTTCTTGCTTTAGGAGTTGAATATGATGATCAGACCAGCCAGAAGGAGAAAGAAGATGATAAAGTCTTTCCTGGTGAGAGCCATACCTATGTCTGGCAGGTCCTGAAAGAGAATGGTCCGATGGCCTCTGACCCACCGTGTCTCACCTACTCATATCTTTCTCATGTGGACCTGGTGAAAGACCTGAATTCAGGCCTCATGGGAGCCCTGCTGATATGTAGAGAAGGTAAGTGTAAGAAAGCGTAGGATTAAGAGGAAATAAGCAGAGAAGTACAAATGGCTGGATCTATTCATAACAGCTTTTGTGTTCTTTCCCTGGAAAGGAAAATAATCCAGTTTCTGAGAGGAGCAGATATCCATCCTCTGTAACCACAATGCACTTTAGGCTGGCGTCAAGACCAAGCAAGTTTCAGAATTAGGTCTGTCTTCTCAAAGCATTGATATTTACTACTTCAAATCTGTGGGCGTCTCAGTAGGAAATTCTACTGTCCTCTGCCTTTTGCAAATTTTGAGCTAGGTTTCTTGAAAGCTGCATGGAGGTAAACACAGTCAAGTGTGTGGTCAATGGCATATAAACAGATTCAGTGTTTACTTTGTCATCTGTAAACCAAAAATATATGAAAGTCTAAGAAAAGTAATCATTTATTTATATTTATAATTTGTTATTCTAAAAATAATCTTATTTTCAGTCAAGCCTGTTTTAAATTTATAGCTTAATAACATAAACTAAATTAGGGAAGTAAATTTTGCATAGTTTTTTAAAAATAAGATAAATAAGTTGGACTTTATTAAATTTAAGACATTTTGTTTGTTCAAACCAACCACTAAGAGGGTGAAAAGATATGTTACACAGTAGGGAAAGATTTGTAATACATGCAAGTAACAGAGGATTTGTATCCAGAATATATAAAGAACTTCTACAAATTCATAAGCAAAAGGCAGACAATCTAGTTGAAAAATGGGCAAAAGTCCTGAATAGAAACTTCACAAAAGAGGACCTCCAAATGGTAAAAAAAAATAAATAAATAAAAAGACAAAGAAAAGAGAAAGAGAGAAAGAAAAGTTTAATATCATTAGTAAGCAGAGAAAACACACATTGAAACCACAATGAGATACTATTTTATACTATCCAGATTGGCCAAAATTATACTCTGACAATGGCAAATGTTGTTCAGGAGGTGGAGGATCAAAAACTGCTGTTGTCACAACTTTGGAAACTTTGTCAGGATCAACTACAGTTGAATACCCTGTGACCTGTCACTTCCTCATCCTGGGTGTAGTCCCTACCAAGAATGAGTACTTATGTTCCTTAAAGACATATACGAGAATGTTTATAGCAGCATTACAGTCGGCCCTGCACATGCGTGTGTTCTGCATCTGCGGATTCAACTAACCGCTGCAGACCAAAACCATTTTTTAAAAAGTAATTTAAAAATAACAATACAATGATAAAAATAATACAAACAAAAACCAACACAGTACAACAACCATTTACATAGCATTCACACTGCACTTGGCATTATAAATATTTTAAGTAATCTAAAGACAATCTAAAGTACTTTAAATTTAAATTTTATTAGGATACTATTACATTTACATTGTACTAGGTATAAGAAATTCAGAGATCATCTCTAGATTGCTTACAATACCCAATACAATATAAATGCTGTGCAAACAGCTGCCACACTGTACTGCTTTTTTATTTGTATCATCCTCTAATGCATTGCCATTTTTTACTGTTCTGCTTCCAAACATTTTCCATCCATGGCTGGCTGAACCAGCAGATACCCATGGATGCGGAGTGCAGACAACATATGGGAGGATGTGTGTAGGTTATATGCAAATATCATTGCATTTTATATAAGGGACTTGAGCATTCAAGAATTTTGGTATCCATGGGAGGTCCTGGTACCAATCCCCAGTGATACCAAGGGACAACTGTATTTGTAATAGCAAAAAATTGGAAACCAACCAAATACTCACCAACAATAGAATGGATAAATATGTTGTGGTATAAAGATGGCCTGCAGTGAGAAAAATGGAAATTATGATTTAAGAAAGTAACTTAATTAAAGGGAGAAGGGTTGCAGGAAGAAAAGACATGCATTTTTGAAGCATTGAAACAGTTTGGAAGTTAAAACCAGGTTAAAGACCAATTTTTGCCGTATGTGCAAATGGGTGAACAAACTTTCTCTTTTTTAAAAAATTATTTATCTTGGGAAGATGGCGTCGGGTCTGAGCGGCCGCGCCAGGAGACAGCGCGATCCTGTGAGCCGT